ACTTATATATATATATATATATAGATATCGTCTATTCATGTAAGCCTTAGCGTTCAGAATAAATGTTAATTCTGTCATGAAAATGACGCTTCAGTAAAGCAAGTGATCTTTATAGGAAGAAGTTCCGCGAAATGCGACTGCATCAGTCATTAGAAAATGTGTTCACTAGTAATAATTGACAGTGACTTTGAATAACCTTATGTCATAGGGCGCTATATTTGTCTAATGCAGACATTACATTTGTTATTATATTCAGTTTGCTGGTGGTAAACAGTCTTTAATTTGCTATAAATGATAGGGGACTAGAAGGCGTGAATAGTTCTTCCCGTGGATAAGCCTGATCTATACCCGTTAGTATGGTGGTATTCTATTTCTGGAACTTACTTTAGCACATCCTGTACAGCATAAATAAATGAACGATGTAAATTATCTACCGTGTGAGTAATGTTGTTTAACGATATTTTTTGTTTTGAACAGATTGGATATTACTCAACAGGAAGCCAGCAGGGTACGGGCATTCTCTGTAGGTAGTAGATCAAAGAAACCTGAGATAGGGAGGTTTGCGAATATAATACACGTAGCGGTGCCAGCCGGTTCTGAAAACTCAGGTTCTAGCAAATCGAATTCAGCGCCATTGCTGTCTAGTTCTTGGGGACTGAATTCTAGTTCCGCAGCATCTGAACGTATGGAAGACCTAATGGAATTGGACTTTACGAAACCCAGTATTTCTACGACTTTCAATTCATCGCCTTCATCATATTCACATTCACAATCACAGTCACATTCATATTCTACTGCCACTGACACCAGTTCCTATGTTGATATGTCTCCTGGACAACCGCTCTCGTCGACTACTGCCCCCTACGTCGATATGAGCCGCATTAATAAGGTACTTATATAGACTTAATAAAATTAAATAAAAGATTTATTACTTATAATGCCATACATAAATCATACAGGGTGTTAATAAAAATGTGGCACACTTTCACAGGGTGAATTTTACATGCCAAACTAAGGCGAAAATCAAGAATGACGGAATTGTGTTCGGGCTTCGATTCGGAGTTATTAACTCTTGACAATATGGGCGAAATACTTTACTAACTAACAAAATACGTTACTATTACAAATTAATCGCTCTTCGACTGTTTCACGATTTGGTTTCATTCGTTACATTTTATTTCACTAAAAAACTTAAAACTTAACTTAAATTTAACCAGGTCATCGATCGAACCCGTGTATCAGCTGGGAATCGGCTGTTCAAGTAGCATAATCTATCACGCCAGACGTGTTTCACTTGAATTTTGTTTGTATTTTCGGTAATAATTGGGAAACTAAGACTCGAAGGCAATTTCGTCATTCTTGATTTTCATTCTAGTTTTGGATGTAGAATACATCCTGTGAAAGTGATCACAGTTTTATGAATACCCTGTGGATATCAAAGTAAAAGAAAATATGCATATAAATACAAATTACTTTACTTACGGAAGTCCTATTAATTGTTTCTATGTTCAACTGATTTGAACCCTTGCATTTTTCAGATCAATCGTAATAACAATAATAATACTATCACTGCCAATCAAAATCATAGTCACATACATGTATCATCTTCCGTTTCTACACATAAACCCGTAATTACTACTTTGAAGCCAGTGGAAGAAGCAGAAGCGCCATATGTGAGAATGGATGGAGTAGTTGAAGATTGGTCGCAATCCAACGCGAGTCCTAATCAAATTTCATCTCCTATGCAAGAAGAGTGCGTGCAATCAAACGGCCCACCAGGTAATGATTTATTTGAGTATCAAATTATAAATGGTGTTTTAGAGATCTGTATATAGAGACTATCCTGATTATTTGAATTTATAGAACGTTGGTTTGTATGTTGTCTGCAAAGGTGAAATATTTTTAGAAACTCTAGTCACTTATAAAATTATAGTCACAATATTTAATTAATGTGACTACTACACGATACTAAATTCAACAAATGTACATGTATTATGTGAAATGAATTGACAGTACTAAAAGTACACACAGGGATTAGGAACATCATATGATTTTCAATTGCAAGTTTTTATTACTGTATTTTTTATGTTTATAAGAAATGATTGCTAATTCATTATTTCTATTTATATGTGTATACAAACGTAAAATATGTTTCGATAATGTGAAACCATTATTATTATACAAAACATCTAAGAACTCATTTAAGGTACTAAATCACATAGTATCTTTGGTTACTACATTATTCTAGTATTGTTTTACGTGCAAGTAACATCATTGTGTCTCATAAATAAGTAAAGTCTGGTATGATACATTTTTGTCTGTGGCTATAAAGTTATTGTAAGATTTTTTTACAGCTTTTAATAACCCGTTAAACTTATGCATATAGTTCTAAAACACTAAATTGATTCTGACTTTTTGTTTAGTGTGCACACAGGTTTTTAATTAACTTACACTGATGAATTTTAGGTGTTACGAGAACCGCGCCAGTTGATCTTCCACGTCGTCCACCGGCTGATTACGTCGATATGAATTTTAAATCGCGAACAATACTAGAATCGGATTACATCAACATGAATATAAGTAATCGAAATAATCGTAAAACACGGACGAGTAGTCGCAAAGATAAGTCACGTTCCCAACCAATTGCGATTCAGGCAGGAAACAAACCCGTAAAAGCGCCTAATTTCTTACCCTTGAATGGAAGTCCAGAATCGGAAAGTTTAGCGAGTACACCCGCGTCACCACCACGGGCAACACCAACGGGTTCTTCGGCAACTATTTTCCCCTTTTCTCTGAATAGCCCTCAGTCGCCCGAAAAATCGTTCGGCCATCAAAAAAATAATAGCGAATCTTCCGAACTAAGCATAACCAACGAAGATTGTGCGATCGTGGAATCTGCGAATAGAGTTAATTCCGTTCCGGTGACAGACACGAACAGTAGTTTGTCGAAAGTAATCAACGATAGACCGTCTACTCCTCCAGGAAAAACTAATCGATTGATATCGGATTTGTTAACCTCTCAAGATAACAAGTTAAATTCTGTAACGAAAAAATTCTCCGACTTGAATTTATCGAAGCCTCGTTTGATAACCGCGTCTCCTAACACCAGTCCCACGTTATCAGGCTTTAAGACAGAGGAAAATACAACAATCGAAAAGCAACCGTCGTCGCCCAAATTGCCGGAGGAAACACCGACGCCTACACCTACTGCTACATCGAGTCCGTTAGAAAACGAAAATTGCGACAAATCGCAATCTCACACGACAAGTTTGCACTACGCTAGTCTCGATCTTCCCGAGACGGGAAGTGCGGCGCCAGTGTCGCCGGCGGCTCAGGACAGTTTCAATTACGCTGAAATTGACTTCCAGAAACTTAAGCCAAATTAAGACGCCATCTTGGTTATGGACAGTACTTGTATCGGTGTTATGCGGTATAGCCAGGCCGATCTACAGATGATGGTTAATGGAGAAATTAATTGGACAAGGCGAAAAAGTGAAGAATGTATTGAGAAAACTTTGGCAAAGTTTCCGTTAATAAAATGAAAACAATAATGATTTCTAAATAAAGTGAGGAATTGATAAGCCACACTTACTTATTTTTCGAGCTTTCATTAAAGAGCCATCATTTATGCTCGGCTTGGCTATAACATATCTTGGGGTGCTGGATTGACTCATTGCCTTGTCTGTTCTTGCTAATACCGAGCAAACATGGCAGTTGATCGTTCTAACATTGGCTGAGTCTTATTAACGAATAGCCAGGATGTCGAATACGAACTGTATATAGTACGTTTTATCAATCGTATGATCCTGACTTTCCGTAAGCAAGAATAGTGCTTGTACTTCTGGTTACGCGGTATCGGTGTCTGTTTTTTTTATCTGCATGTAGCAACAAAGTCGCAAATTTGTTTAATCATGTTGAAACGAATTTTTGAATTCTCGACGTCGGGATGTTTATTTGTTTTCCTGTTTTTTTTCTTCATTTATTTTTAAAAAGATTATTTTGTATGAGACATATTGATATTATCTGGGAGTTTTGAAATTTTATGTCGTTCCAGTTGGTTTCTTTTTTTTAATCGAATGTTATGAATAAGAAAGTATTCTTATGTACATAGAAAATGTTTTTGATTGGTCGCATCAGAATAGTATTTATCGGCCTATTATAAATGTATATGTTTTACATGTTAAAAGCGGTTATATCTTAATTGTTATTGCTAATCATGCTAATTTTAGTGAATTGGATTAGAGGTGGTACAAGAACGATACACTACCAGAAACATAGGTACTAACATAACTACGATCACGCGAGACGTAGTGCTGCTCACCAATGTTGGATCGATGGAGGTCACGAATGTTTTTATTTCGATCAGGTAGATGCTCTTCAATGCGAATTATAAATATGTGTTATCACGCTTTTTCGTATAAATTATAAATTACCGAAATTAGTGCGCGTGCGCGCACTTATATGTCACACGCATTTACAGGGTATTCTGTAAAGATGGTGCAACTGGAAAGGAAGGTAGAGAATGACAGTGCGCGTGCGCCCGCGCGTGTGTGTGTATGAGAGAAAGGGTGAGAAAGATACGATTGGTTGTGTAAAAATGAAACTGTAACCAGTCTTACGATGTTTTTGCCGAGAGTAGAAGAGAACATATTTCTTAATACTATCAGGTTTTATGAGTTCGATTTTATGACATCTCCTCGCATACAGTTTAAGTATAGTTCAGTTATAAATTATATCATATCGTGTATATACATATGCATTGTCTAAATGATGCTGTATATATACGTGTATGCGTATGTATGTGAATTTGTATACATATGTATATGTATATATATAGCATTAATAAGTATATTAATGATGAATAAAGCAGTATATATTGCTGTTCTTCACTATACATATAATCCTTATGAAGTGATTCCTTCTTCTTTGAAGGTTTTCTTTTCTCGGGAAACGAGGTGTTTATTGTACCGTTGTAAAATAATATTGTTAACTTGTACATTGTCAAATGTAAAAAATTATCATTTCGACTGACGCTATAAATAACGTAAGTTTTTATTTAATTTGATGCACAAGTGAAGATCATCATCTTTTCATTGCAGATTAACAGATTGTCCGTCCATTCGAAGTAGAACCCGCGCTGTACAATTTTTTAGTTTCTCGGTAAAAGGAGTTTTGTTTGATTTAAAAAAAAGAACATTAACAATGTAAATACAGACTCTTAAAACTTGAACATTTGAAAGATTTTATTTTACAAATATAGATGTTATGACATTATTATTTTTACAAAATCCTCGGAATGATTCTAAATATAATGATGTTACATTAATGCCAAATAATATACTAAATCTCGTTAATACGTTGAAAATCAGTATTCGTTTTTCGTAAGAAAGAAAGTGAAAGTCTACTACAAAGAATTCATTTCGTAAATTCCAGTTAATTAAATATCTGGAAGCAAATTGTTTCTAGTATTGTGTCTATTATTTCTAAATTAATAATTGTATTAATAATAAAACCCAATAATTTATAATTTATTTGTTAATAAGACAATATTTATTCATCTGATCTGATTTTTGAATTCTAATTTAATATTTACATGAAATCAGTGAAAAAATGTACAAATATGAAATAGAACCTTAATACTTTAAACTTTATTGTGAAATTTATAATCACAATTTATTTTTTCATCTTTACTCGTTATTCTATATTTTGTTTTATAATTTAATCTGAATTTGAAAAAAGAATTAATAAATACTCGTTTGATAATAAAAAGTTAATTAACTATTACTAATGTTAATATTATCTACGCGGGATACGAGACGTATATAAAATACAAAATGTACGTACAATAAATCGGAAAATGGCACTAGGTTTCAAAGTACAATATAATTACTGCAAAGTTAATTTTCTTGTTAATTTATCTGAATTAATTATGACACATTTTCTCTCTACTTAATCTTCTGTTATAAAAGATAATATTTTAATGAAAATCTGTATGTTTAAATTGTCTTCGAAGTCGTTACATAATATTTATATTTCTAAAATATCTTTTTATTATCACAGTACATAATACTAATGTATGAAAAACAGTTCTGTCCTGTCAAGCGTTAATTTTTTACGATTCTTTTACGAGTAATATTTCTTACAATAATTCCATAGATTTTTGTACTTGTTCTCTGGCCTTTACACAGTTTTAGTTACACAATTTTATCTTTTCAAAGTTACCATACTCTTACAAACGGAAAACGGACGATAACTGTTGGCACATTTTGTAACTATTTGCATTCAAATTATTTCTATCCTTTCCACTTAACCATTCTCAAAAATATTTGTATTTAGATATTATTTTTAGAGAATTGCAATCTCGGAGGTAAGTATGAATACAAACGTTGGAAGGCTTAACAATTGTCTGATTTTAATATAGGATTGGCGTATGGAAATCACAAATCCATCTTGATATAGACACCTAAGGGTTAAATTTCCCACACTTTTTGTAATGGAGGTTTGTATTATGCAATTTTGACATTCTGTATTAATGATTACTATTCAAGGAATTGTTATGTAATAATACGGAGAATATGTGACCAATTAAATATTGAAGAACTCTACTGTGAACAAAGTATAAGTAAATTAGTAATGTAGTAATTTTTATTATAATACCGGAAATACAATTTAAAACATTCGCGTTCTTAGAAATAAATGAACGTTTCCCAAATTTGTCATTGAAAATGTTAATTGTCAGTTTATTGTTTAAGCAAATCGGCGCTGAAAGCTTATTCTTACGCAGTCCAATTCGTCATGACAAATGTATAGATATTATATGAAAAATTATATTTAATAATTACCGTTGCAGTTGCAAAATTCCGGTAATCTTTGGAAAAAGTTAATTTTCGTATAGATTTTGTCTATTTTTTTACTCATTGCGTTTTTCTATTTAAACTAGTTTTTATTTTTTGGGTAGGAACAATTGAAGATTTTTACATGGAATTAACACTAGAACTATCGACAATAAATGCATATTTGCTTGAATCTGTGGATACACGGGAAAAACTTTTGAAAATTTAGGAATTGAGTAATTTCTTCACTTTCATATCGCGTAATAAAAGGTGCAAAAGATCTAAGAAAATTTATTGGCATAATATTTTAATCGTCGTTGTAAAAGTGTATTGACAAGTCATTTTGACTTGCTTGGTAGTTCTAGTGTTAAATACGTCTTGCAAACGTTAATTTCGGTTGCTTTTACATGAAAAATAGCAAAGTTATTAATTATCCTACAAGTCGAATTTAACCCTTAACAATGGATACAGATTACAAATATAAATAAGTTACAAAGACGCGTTTTAGGACATTTGTTTAGGTATGCAAACTTTTTTCTCTTCTCTTGACACAAAGATAATTATACCTAAATTGCTCATTCACTGATAAGCAGTTGTGTTGAAGTTTCAAGCAAATTGCCAGCAATAAATGACAAAAGTTGTCTAGAATGTCATAGCCACCTGTGTCCGCATTTGACTTGGGTTTTGCAGGCAATGCCAGCTGATAAAATGGTAAAGAAAATTGGTTGAAAATCTTGCAACATGACCTATGTCAAATTGAGGGCAAAACTGGTATGTATAAGGTTTGCGCAAGCCACTTTGTTGCATATGTTGCTGTCAATTTGCTGCTTATGTTGTTGCCAATGTGCACGCCAGTTGTTTATAGTAAATCTTGCATCAAACTTGTAGCCATAACTTTATAACAGGCATTGGACAAAATTTGGCTTTGCAGGTTTGGCTGATTGGGTCTTTTCTGATATATCCTGAATAGTGTCGAGAGATATAAGAATCCAACAAAAATGGGTTTGTACAGTTCTAGTTTTCAAAGTACACAAGCTTTTTATAATAATAGGAATTCGTGAAATACTTTTTGTCTAGATGTATGAAGTATTTCTGACTTTACAGTGTACCTAAAGGCGCCTCAGACCTAAAACAGCCGTAAAATGGGCGTCTTCAAGGCGTCATGTTGTACGTATGTATTAGATAGTAAAAACTATAAATTAAAATAATGCGTAGAAGTTTTACTTCTCAAAGAAAAATGACCAATATCAATTATTTGAGAAAGCATTTACGGTCTCGTGTTTACGGAATCTTGCTTATTTTTAGAATATAAACAAATGTGTTAAAGTTGTAAGAATTTCGTCTCCTTTAATTCAAATTTAATATACAGTGGCAGAAAAAAGTATTCATACACCAGTGACACCTAATATCGATTAAAATACTGTTTTCAGTGTAACACTACAAGTTCATAATTATGTCCAACAGACTACGCCATTGACAGAAAACTAAATTATAATGGAATAACGAGAAGAAAACAATTTTTAACTTAGTAACGTACAGCAATCAGCATTGTCAATTGACAATTAGAATCGTCGGTGTACGAATACTTTCTTCTCTCACTATAACACCCATTATCTGTTTCAATTGCTAGATCTATCCCCAGAAACATTCATGAATCGTTCGTACAATTTGGTCTCAGTCGACTTGAATGGGAAATTTATTTAGCAGCCCTTGCGTTCTCGTTAGCTTATCGTTGTTTCTCTGGTT